TCTCTCTCTCTCTCTCCCTCTCCCTCTCCCTATTTCTATATCCCACGTTATTATCATGTTTATAATCATATGGTTATAGTTAAAAGTTATTTGTTATAGTACTTTAGCGCCTTTGGTGAACATTTCCTTTTATTAATCTATTATATAACCAGGCTTTTTGTTGTTGTTGTTGTCTGTATGTTAATGTTTTGAGGTACCTGACCTCTACAAGCTAAGCTTAAAATAGTTCTCCTCGCCTTTTCTTCTTCTTTTTTTCTTCTCACTTAAATGCATTATATGAACTTGATCCTTATGAGTGTTCCTTTTATATACTCTACATGTTATAAACTTGTTAAATTGTATTACATTCATGTTGGAAGAAAGACAAATAAACTTGAACTTGAACTTGAACTCTCTCACTCTGTCTGTCTGTCTGTCTGTATTTCTGTCTCTGTCTCCCTCTCTCTCTATCTGTCTCTCTCCCTCTGCAGTATTCTTGAGCTTGACTAGCTTCCCTGTACTTACCGGCAGGACAGCTAGAACCTTTCCTCATCACGCAGTACTTCCCTGGCTGGAAAGCCCAGTCATAGATATCCTCTTCCTCCCTGGTCTTGGAGCAGAACCAATGCTCCATGTTGTTCTTGTTCTTGTAGCCAGCTAGATGATTAGAAGAGGACCAGTGGTTGTTGCTATCCTTATCCTCAGTGTCATGGTAGCGGTAACCATCGGGGAAGGTGAAGTGGGCATTGGGGCAACCGGTTGTTGGCTTGGGAAGTGTGTACTTCCCCTTAGGCCAGGTGATGGGAATGGCAACCAAGTTATGATCTAGAAGAAAGTTTGAGAGAAGAAAAATTAAAATTAAAATAGCTTTAGAGGGTATACACATTGACTTATTACTGCTTCTATAAATATACGGGAAAGAAGCATTGAAATAGGATAGGAATAATAGTTTTACATTTTTAAAATCCAGTGCTAAATTCAGCAGGTGAAGGGGAATACAAAGAAGTAGCATTCGCCCAGTCATTGAGGAGCTCTTGGGTCTGTTGAGGGAGCTTCTAGGTGCATTAATTTGATCAAACGATCGAGCGAGTGAGCGCAGCTAGGGAATAAAAATAATGGGTCATATTTATCTTTTCATGTTCCATCCCCGAGCCCCTTCCTTCCTTCTCTCTCTCTCTCCCTCTCATTCTCTACCTCGTTTTCTATCTCTCTCTCTCTCTCTCTCTCTCTCTCTTTGTCCCTCTCTTTCCCTCCCATTCTCTCTCTCTCTCTCTCTTTTCTACTCCCTCTCTCTCTCTCTCTTTCTAGTGCTCTCTCTCTCCTTCCCACTCTCTCTCTCTCTCTTTCTCTCTCTTTCTCTCTCGATCTCTTTCCCTCCCATTCTCTCTCACTATCTCTCTCTCTCTCTCTTTCTCTCTCTCTTTTCTACTCTCTCTCTTTTTCTTATGCACCCTCTCTCTCTCTCTTTTCTCTTTATTCAATTGGGGACACGCGATGTACCGCCCTCTCATGGCTATATACGCCTCTATGGCTTACCTATAGCGTCCTGTGCGTTCCTCCAGACTGCATACCCTGTCAGAGCAGTCATCATGTTCTTAGCGACGCTCTCACGAGTATCTATCCAGCTAGGATCACATAATCCTGCAGCTACATAGTCCTCAAACCTTGTCCAATACTCTGCCTTAAAGACCTCATCTATCTCATCAAGACCAGTGTGGATCGGTTCTAGAAAATATCGAAACAGAATTATGATTTGACGACAAGTCTAATTGAAAGGTGAATGAAACGGGCTTGTGGCACGAGATATGAACTACTTTTTTCAGTTTACGGGTTTGCTAAAAAAAAAATGGACAAACAGATCTGAATATAACCTCGATTTGGCGAACTTACCACTACACTAAAATCTTTTAGAAATCTTGGACGGCGTATATTGGTTTTCTGATAAATGTACAATTTATTTATTTACGATTGGAACAACACAATGACGACGTATATTCAACAAATTTCATTCCATTATCACTTTTCGCTACACACTTTTATATCACCTTAATATTGATATGTGTACCCCGGTCATTGGATTCAAGTTTGTCCACATACAAAGTATGGCCATTATCCGGGTACCCATTTAGCACGATATAAATGGAGAGCGGCAGATGTGGACTAATGTCTTACCCAACGACATTAATGCTGGGCTTGGATTCGAACCCTCAACTCTTAGACTATTAAATACATGTAGTAAAGTGAATGAGCCACCATACTACGACACTATGCTAACCATACCCCGATACCTAAACCTACCAAAACTACCAGATGTGAAGGTGTGGGTTTTGGAACCGAACTTCATCCCAGATCCTAGGTTAGCCTTGAATTCTTCCATATCAACAGCTAGACCAATACTGTAACCCATGAAGCCAGCTCGTAGGGAGGTACTCTTCGCTACCTGCAGTGAATTCAATATGAACCCCATTTTGATAATTTAGTAAATGCTCCCCCCCCCTCAATTTTGTTTTAATAAACAAAATAAAAGAAGAAAAAAAAAGAAAACAAACTTGTTTTTATTTTGTTGTGCAAAAGGGTTATCCCCAAAAGTGACCTTACCCCCCCCCCCCCCCCCGTCACTGAACGAAATATCGGTTGGCCAAATTTTGAAATTTTCAGGCCGCCCCCCCCCCCCCCCCCCCCCTCCCCAAAAAATAATAATAATAATTAAAAAAATTGGGGTAATGAGTGACCCCAAAAAACTGACCTTACCCTCCCCCCCCCCCCCCCCCTAACGAAACGAAATATCTATCGGCCAAATTTTCAAATTTTGGGACACACAAAAAAAAATGCGCTCTTGCTCTTGAATCCGTTTATTCAGAACATAAGAAGAGGGGTGTACACTACTTCATAAACAGAGCAAGGAAATCATCTCGCAAACGGCGACACCCAAACAAAATCCAACATTGTGCTAGACGACTTGGATAAATCGTATTTGCATATTAGCTTACACGGACTGACTAGTTGCCAGTGTCACTAGTAACCTTGTCTTTATCTTTTTATAATTATCCTTCTCTAACATTTTCCCTGGCATAGTGGACGAATCCTTGTGTCTCTTCTTCATATCGCTCAATCTTCCTACTTCCGAGGTTAACTGACGTCACAACGTGCTATGGAGAAGAGAGAGAGAGAGAAAAAAAAAAGTCGTCACTGGGTAGATTTGGCTCAATAGAAGTGAGAAAATGCAAGTGAGAAAGTGACAAAATATTTGCACATAAGGAAACAAAACAATGAAGCTAATTACAAACATTTAAGTCATGTATGATATTGTTCAGGAGTTAGAATTAGAAAAAATAGAAAATGGAACGTAGAAAATGCATTCTACGGAAGATATTTTTGTTTATATTGTCAAAAAATTGATCAAAAAGGCCCAGTGCAATGTATTATTGTGCTACATTAATACAAAATCATTCTCCGCTCGTTGACTCAAGATATATATATATATATATATATATATATATATATATATATATATATATATACAGATATTTGATATATTATATTGTTCCTTCTCATGCTTATTTCTTTTCAAACGCGCATTTCTCTTTCCTTATCTTCTTCTTCTTCTCAACCCCACACGCAGCTCATCATTTAGTATTATTTTCTGTACTTCTTTTTGTCATTGTCTACTCTTTGTATTATGACCGTGTTCTTCTATCTTTGTCGTGTAAAGTATTGTCTTGTCCCTTTCTCGTCTCTGTTGGCATCCCCCTTTTTCTTTCCCCTATTTTGTAATTCCTTTTGTAGTTACAGATTAGTTAATTTAATTATTCATTATTCCTAAGTTTCATTTGAAGTGTTCACACTTGTACAAGCATTGCTTTTTAGTGGACCCCTCTGTTTCCAACATGTATTTCTTAAATTTGTTTTAAATGCTTATAATTGATTTGTAATGTTTTGTTGGAAACATGAAAGAATTTGAATTGAATTGAATTGAATTGAATATTAATAATAATCATTATTCATGTTAAAATTAAAATTGATTTTATTTTTTAATTATTAAAAATAATAAACAACTGGAAAAATATACTTCATGTACAACAACAGAGACATGACACTGAAAAGGAAGCCATCGAAAAGCAAAGCTTGTATCGGGTGTAATTACCTTAGATCACACGAACAAATATGATATAAAAAGATATAATCAAAATTACCAAAATGACCTTCTGAACCCGGTCATTCCGGAAGTATCTTGCGATATTATCAGTAAATTAAAAGTAAATATTTGATCTGTTATCGCTGTACTATACAATTAAAACAGCTGTGTCAATTCCAGTTGGCTGGGCAGGTTCTGTCACCAGGGAGTGGAAGATATCCACTCTAATGTGTAAAATAGTAATTGAATCCAGTGACTGCATGTATATGACATTCCGTTTCAATTTTTCCTTCGTAACCTTTTAACGATTTGTCTTTTTTAATAACTTGTAAATTGATGATGATCCCAAATTCTGGAAATTATTCTCCCGCTTGTTATTGTACTTTGATAAATACTTTGATGAATTTTCGATTATTGATTTTTTTTTTTTTTTTTTATATTCTTCTTTGTAAGTACTCACATATCAAAGATAATCAAAAAATAATGTGAATTCTGTTTCAATCAATTAATTTGATATATGTATACGTACTGTTCCTCTTCTCTGCACGAACTGCATATAGTTGGTTTCATTGTAGGATGCGGGCAGACTACAAGCCTCCACTACAAACCCATTGTCAAGGGGGTACTGTTCTTGTTCAGCTAGCTCCCAGTTATACCGAGCTTCTGCTTCTAAAGCAACTGTCTTGTTCTCGTAGTATACCAGTCCACGGTATTCAACCCCTGCCTGGATCGACTCATAGTCTAGATCATGCGAGGATTGGAAGAAATTTTGTATAATTTGATTTGATTTGATTTGATTTAGTGGTTTTTGCATCTTTTTTCTTTTTTCATCATACATTTTCATGAACATAATATGGTTTGATACAATATTTTAAGTGTATATAATTTTATACGGATAATAAACGAATTTAAACGAATATATTGAATGCATAATTGACATACATTAGATGCAGGAGGGCTACATGAATAAGCAAAGTAGCTTGACGTGCCCGCAGCCATCAACTTAGATACAACAACAATAACAAATACAAATAGAAAAGACTGACTTGCAGAGAAGAAAAGGAAAGGGGAGAGAAGGAGCGGCACTTTTGAAATATTCCACCAGTGAGTTTGAAGAAGAACAAAAAAAATCAATTGATCACGTCATAATCTGCTATTTTATATAAGACTTAAGGTGACTTTCTACAGGTCTATTCTTTTACAATATGTCAGGAGAGCTTGACATTTTGACGACAATTTTAGATACCCAAAGAAAGTTAGAAGTATACAGCACAATAACAAAAATAAATCGTTTAAGGCGAGTGCCCATATACCAAGACCATAAACTTCATATCATTACCCTAGACAACTACCACCAGGACAAATATCCCGGTAGAAATTACCAAAATAAGCCACTTGGGAGAAAGCACTTGTACAAATGATTCCAAAATATCCACAGATCTGTTACACGTGGAGACGTCCCACTTTGTGCATTTAAGAACAATCACAGCCAAAGTGATGGAGGTGCTTCATGAACATACCTTTAGTTTGCCCTCTTGAAAAGAATGCTTCCACATGAATATAGAATGTACCGCCGTTGCATAAAATAATGAACAGTTTACCTAACTTTCAAGAACACATATCCATTAGTCGTCACGATGGGTTTTACATTTTTGTTTCTTTCAAAAATATTTTTTTAGATTAAGGGTTATTATCCAGGGGTGGCTGTCCAAAATATCAGATTTGAAAATCTAAAAAGAACATTGAATTTCAGTTCGTGAAATTACTGTAAAGTATCGAAAATAGTCGATAATGGGATACCGAATCATAATCGTTTAAAATGAAACATGACCTTTTCGATCCTATCTCTCTCTACAAAACATTATTATTCAGGGTATTAGAACCTCAGAAGACTTCATTCCTTATAAAGGGTGTGTGACTGAAAATTAGAAAACCGTTTACTTTTCAGGGTGTATCCAATTTTATTGACTTGAAAGCTCCAAAATTGCATAGGTAGAAAGCGGTGATACGAGGTTTTAAAAACAATAGATTAGTAGTAAAATAACGATTTGTGACTACTCACTCTTGCTCTTAGAAAATCTCCCACGAATGATTTTTGCACTTCCTGTGTGACAGATGGAGAGGGGTACAGACAGACAAACATAAAAAGGAGAGAGAATAAGAGGAAGAGAGAAGGTAATAGACATGAAAGAGAAGGAGAAAGAAATACTCCAAAGATTCTCAAATGGCATTAGTTATGTTTTTAAATTAGCAGGTTGATACGTTTAACGGGCATAATATAACTGAAAGTACAACGAATGAATGTATGTGATCTGAAATTACAGGAGACAGTGACCTTCCATATTTAACTTATGTTTAGTATGGATTAAGTATGTTCTTGTTATTTCACACATATGTCCCACATATTTATTTAATATATCCATGGACATTAAAATATATGTTTAAAACAAATACATAGAAACCAATACATTTAAATTCAATTCAAATTAAAAAATACATGAACATACTAACCTTCGCATTGTTCTACAGAGGGAAATAAACTATCAAGTCGTGTTTTACATAACCATCTGGACTGTATGTATTATATTATTTAGGTAAATGTCATTGCGATTCATGTTTTATGCTTAAAGGTATTCTTGTACTGATACTGCTGTCCTGTCAAAATCTGGGTTTTTAAAAAAATTTACGTAATAAAGTTTTCAAGTCGACAATACTTACCCCTGATATTGCTTTCCTTCTCCAACTTTTGAACGTAACTTTGAGTCCCATGAAAGATGTCACGTGATGAGGTTGAGACGGAGCTCTGTCTATCGACATAGCTTACTTGGTCTGGTATAGCATAACCATACATTTCAATGCCCTTGTCGTAGGTGAAGTCAAATACACGGAATGTAGTCTGATAAAGAGACATAATAAAGGAGAGAGAGAGAGAGAGAGAGAGAGAGAGAGAGAGAGAGAGAGAGAGAGAGATTACATCAGTTATTTTGACAATGTGATAAAGAGACATGATAAGGAGAGGGTGTGGGAGAGAAAGAGAGAGATAGAGAGAGAGGGAGGGAGAGAGGGAGAGAGATGGAGTTGTATTAGTTAATTTCACGATGTGGAAAAGAGACATAATAACGGAGAGAGAGGGATGTGTGAGAGAGAGAGAGAGAGAGAGAGAGAGAGAGAGGAATCAAGATAAGGCAGAAAAGACAAAGACGAAGGGGGAGGAAGAAAGAGAGAAAGGGGAGGGCAGAGAGAGAGCGAAAGAGAACACAGAGAGACAGAGAGAGAGAGAGAGAGAGGGGGGGGGGGGAGGAGGTGAAAGACACACACACACACACACACACACACACACACAAATGAAGATATTGAAAGGGAAAGAAAAACAATTAGCAATGCTAACCTTGAGTCCTGGGTCAACGCCACCGTTGTTGATTTCTCCACCTTCTGGGTTTCCATCGATGATGTCATAACCAACGCCGAGAAAATTCTGAACGCCGGGTGGGGATGTCAAAGATGTCTTCATCTCGTCGTCAACAACTTCGACCTCATTGGCGGTGTCATCGATGAGGGATGCGTGACCTCCATGGAGTGCCGCAATCAGTAGGATACAAACGTATAGCAACATCTCTATTCTCTGTAAAAACAAAAAATATTTCATTTATGAAAGAATAAAAACATCGAATAACTACCTGCCTATAAAGACTGAAATTTTGGTTTCCCTTGGACAATTTTTCACTGAACCATGTTATTAAAGGAAGCTCTTCAAAGACCATCTTCTATAAATACAAAAGTATTCTTATCTTCCTTGAGTGGTCTTTACATAATAATGATAATACATGTATAATTATGATAATTTCAGTGAAATCCTCTCATTGTGCCTTCGAATTTTAGATTTCGTTTAGGGTAAGTGATTAATATTTCTTAAGTTCAGTAAGTTTGATATTTGAATATTGTTTTACCTGACTTATAAGAAGGCATGAACATGTATATGCTTGTAAGTAAGCAACTGGGGACTGACAGCTTTAAATCCACTCTGAGGGACTTGGTAATGGGGATTAATGTTTTATCAAATAACACGAGCATATTCACGAGCCCCCTCACATGAGCTATCGCGCCACCTCGTGTAGAAACCAAACTGACCGCGGAGCAATGTTTCACCTGAGCATGTGTCATGCAATCGATACAAAATACATTTCTATTTCCAAAATATCAATAACGTCATTTAAAAAAAAAAGCCTACAGCGCTGGAATGGACACAAAATAATGAATTACTTCACTAACTTCAGTGTATGAAGAAAACAAAAGAGTCCTAGCTACTTACCAATATTTGAATGTGAATTCTGAAAAAATATCTTCTCTCTCTTAAGTTGAGGAATCATATACAAGTACAATGGTTGAGTATGTTGATCACATGTAAGATACAGCATATGGGCAGGCATAGGGATGGGGTATGAAGGGTGTAAGCCCCCCTTCCCTTCTTTCTTTTAAACCAGGCCCAACATCACGATAGGCGAAAGAAAACATCATCCAAACAAACATCTCGTTTTGCGCCTAATGATATTAAGAACTTTTTTCTCTTCCAATTCAATGAAAACAGTAGATTCGATTTTGATTGAATACACCTCCTTTGAACAAATGTCCTGTCCCTAGTCCCCCAAGGGCAATATACAAATATTTAATCGTATGATATCCACATGTTCCATATCTGTTTTTCATTGGTTTCTTATCTAAGAATTTATTAATAGGTCATCGAGAGACTTGTATAAATCCATAAACACATGTTGAATTCACATGTCTTTGAGTGATAATCATTAAGTTATCAAGGTACCTTTAGGGATGCAAAGTTTTCGAAAAAATAAACCCAAATCTTGAGTGCTGGTCATCCGGTTGTAGGAAAATATCAAACACGATGTATCGTAAAAGCTACATACATTTAATTAAATTAAAAGCAATTAGTCATCCACATCATAAGCATTTTGTCCATTGTTGCTGCTTAATGGCTGAATATAATAAAGAGAGACAGACAGAGAGAGGGCGTGAAAGAGAGAGAGAGAGAGAGAGAGAGAGAGAGAAAGAGAGAGAGAGAACAGGAAGAGAGAAAATAGAGAGCGAGGGGGATAGGAGGTAGAGGCAGAGAGGGAGAGAGAGAGGGAGTGAGGAAGAAGGAGGGAGAGAGAGAGAGGGAGAGTGGAAGAGAGAGAGAGGGAGAGAGTGGGAGAGAGAGATAGAGAGAAAGAGAGAGAGAGAGAGAGAGAAAGAGGGAGGGAGAGGAAAAAAGAATAGATACTAAGATGGTATAGGATGGTATAGAGAAGCAATAATCACTTAAAATAATTGGTATGATTGGTATGAAGTACGGCGCCAATACTTTATCAAAGTAGGCCTATAAGAATAATCAAAGTCACTCAGAGCAGTAGCATAGCATAGGTCTAACCATCAAGGGGGTACTGGTGTCATGTGGGGGGGGGGGGGGCATTGGTATCACCTGTGTATACAATGCGAAAAAACATCGTCATCGAGGAGTAGAGGTGGAGTCATCGTATCATCATCTCTGCATGTTGCCCTCTCCTCCTCCTTTACCGCTTGCGTCTTATTTTTTTCTTTCATTCTTTAGCCCCCTCTTTTGGTCATTCGATGCCAGGGTGAAGGGGGGGGGGGGGTAGAAAGTCTAGTGTCAACTAAAAACACGCCATTGTCTCCTTAGTTGTGAAAACAAACATATCAAAACGTTCGGGTCACTAAACAGTGCTTGTTTTATTACCCAAAGATGTTCTATGGAGAATGAAGTGAAAACACGTCTTTTTTTACATCCATATTCATTCTGCTAAAAGTACCACATATTTCGCCCAGTTTGACTAGTAAAATACGACAAAAACTATGTTATTTTGGGTAAAGCAAACAAATTACAATTTTATTATGATTTACTATCTCGTTTTATTTGTTAATGTAGTAAATTTACTGTTATTTTCAGCTCGCTTTCTGTGTAAAATCAACGGGTCGAGCGAGCGAGAGAGCTTAACTACTATGTCACAATTTGGCATACCGCCTTCTTCTAATTTTTAGGTTGAGAAAGCCATTTTCTATGCGATTTTATATTTCTAACCATATAAGACTCGTTTAGATTGATCAACGTTATCCCAGCGTATCCAGGATGTAAGATCATCACATCTTTGCCGAGTGAAAGTTTTTGGTGAGATGATTCAGTTGAGACCTGTGTCGCCTACAGTCTTTGTCGCGGTGGTGGAACGATACTAATCTCTTGTGCACAGAACATGACTGATCCATTTTCTTCAATTCCCAATAGAGTCCATTTAGCTCCAAACGTTTTGATATGGATCGACTAAGGATTAACAGGACGAAGTGAAATCTAATCACATTAAAGGCCCACTGCACTACTGGTAGCTACTTGCGCCCTCTATATAACAAACAATGCCTAATCGGTGACCATTGGTCCCCCATGATCCTCTTTTTCTTATGTTAACTGAGAGCTGAGTTGATGAGATAACCCCCTATCCAGTGACCTTGCAGAGCGTTCTAATCCCTCCTGTAAACTACAGCAGATAAGCTTTAACCGCTGCTGCTAAGTGATGGGGTTAATTAATCTACAGTTATTAGTTTCGGTTGCTAATATAGCGTCCGAAAATAAGGCTCAATAGTTATATTACTATACATTGTGTGGCAGATAAAGTTTTTCTTATATTCATTGGCGAGAGAGAGAGAGAAAGACAGACAGACAGAGACAGAGACAGAGACAGAGAGAGAGAGAGAGAGAGAGAGAGAGAGAGAGAGAGAGAGAGAGAGAGAGAGAGAGAGAGAGACTTTCCCAGTTCCGCCCTGGAGAGATAGATATTTCACTATACCGTCACCAACCATCATCCATTTCAAATTTGAATATTCTTTCGATATTCATGTGTTATATTTATTAAAAAAGACCCCCCTAAAAAAATTTAAACAAAAAGATTACAATAATTAAAACGTGCATTGGAAATCGACTAGAACTATGATAAAAAGGGGGAAAAGTTATAGAAAGCAGGAAGAGAGATAAATAGAGAAGGGAGGGGAAGTACTAGTCTACTGAATTATGTGCATTATCCAAGTTAATTAATAACAATCGTCACTACACATCAGGAGTTTGTCAACTTTGGCCCTTACAATCGACTCATTAATCAAATGATTATCAAAGAGATGAAGGTAAATTGATTGCCTTCTAGAGCAATTGATCTAATACCAAGGACAGACTTTGAGAGGTGGAGGAGACCTTGATATTAAATTAATTGCATGGAGGACAATCAAATTACTTTCATATCTTTGGTAATCCTTCGATTAATGTTAATGTGATTAATATTATGGCAACCGCGCCACGAAGTGGTTGCTTTGGTAACCATAATGTTAATCACATTGAAAAGATATTGTCTATATCCATTTGTATGTAGTGATGGAAACGGCAAGGTCGAAAAGAATACAGACATGATGAAAGCACGTTGAAATTGTGCACTGGGCCCAGGAGATCCGATCGATCTTCAACGTGACGCGACGTGACACTAAGACCACAGTCACATCAATCAGACTGATAGAAAGGACTACAACTTTGTTTTTCTTTATGATATGTTCGTTATTATTTTCTTTCAAATCAAATATATTTTGTACAAATCATTCATAACAATATTGTACACATTTTTCATAATACAACTGGATTGACTGTACATTGATATTTTGGCTTAAAGGTATAGACCAGTTTTGGAAACGCCCCCCCCCCCCCTCAAAAAATGAAATGGAAGCTCTTATTACCAATCATGTGAAATAATATGTTTTGACTTATACGTGATGATACACATTTTGCCGAGAAACCACTAATTGATATATTGAATAAAATATTATATCTATCCGGACTGGATAGATATCCCGTAGCCCCATATACATCTTTCTGTGTACAGTGCTTGTAACTTTACCAAGACTGGACCAAATTTCTTCTTATAATTTTGATGATTCCAGAATCTTGCAGTATACACCAATATACATATACTAGATGATCAACCTTTGCTGATCGATTCCACAACGTTTCTTTCACAATGCAATCGCATGACCAGAACTGGTCTATACCTTTAACATAAATTGCAATAATAAAAATTAAATTAAAAAAAAGAATACATTTTCATAACCTGTTTAGAATATATGTCATATGATCAAAGAATAGTATATGTGAGAGATTTTATATTATTCGTGTCTATTCTCCCCCCCCCCCCCCCCCCCCGGATGAACGATTACTTGCCCCGAAGAGCCAAATATCGTTTAGTGTGCATGAGTCGGCGCGGTGTTTGCTTGGCGGTGTGACTGAGGTATTACTATTGCATAAAATATTACGATTTGCTTTTGATCTTTAGCGGAGCGCTCATATTCATCAGCATCTCTCAGTTACTGGAAAACAATTGGAAGTGAAGCAATTATCGCCAAAGCATGTATCGAGGAACGTTGGTTCGAGATGAAATAGATGCAGTATTTTTTTTTTGTTAACATGGAAGGTTATATTCCTCTTGCGAGTTTAATGTACATCTTTGTACAATTTTTTATTGGAGGTAAGTAACTTTGAATTTACGAATGTGCCTCCAAATCATCTTTTTTTTCGTATTATATATTTTATTTGGCGTTTCATTCAAATCAGAAGCGGCAATAGAACTTTTAAACTTGGAGGGGAGGGCGATGTGTTTAAGCACACAAC